ATCAAAGACGAGAAATGTATTTTATATTTTTTATTTTAGCTACATACCTTGGGACGCTCTTCTGACCTCGATTCTTTATTTGGAGACCTCTTGTTACTTGAATGGGGATTTTCTTTTGCTCGCTTGACCTTGGTTTTATTGTTCTGCAAGAAGTCATCGTCGACTTCCTCCATGTGGACATAATTGTTGCATCTTGCCAAGAGCTTGTCAAAAGACCGCCCTAGCATCTTTGCCAATGAGTCTCTGCATTTGCCCGGTCGTAGACTTCGAGTTAGGCCTTCTACCTCGATCTCCTCAAAGGCTTAGGGGACCTCCACGTAGGGCTGATATCGAACCAAACCGAGCTTAAGTTTTTCGAGCTTGAGTTCGACTAATTTTCGAACATGTTATTGTTCGTTCATTTCAAAATTTAACTAAATTTTATGTTCGTGTTCGTTCGTTTATTCGTTCGACAAGTTCGTGTTCGTTCGTTTATATAATCGAACTGTTCGAACCAACTGAGTTCGACTAAATCGTATTGTTCGATAAACAAATAACCTGCTCAAACTTTAAACAAACAGTCTACTCACCCTTTTACCAAATTCAAACATAAAATTAATACAAACTTGTTGCTAGTTACTTAAAGTAACAAAAGTAGAATCAAACCAGACAACCTAATCAGACAACCAAATCCAAAAAATTCCAATAAAGACAAGTTCCAACTCCAACAAAAGTACAAAACCAAGCACAAATAAATACAACCAAGTCCAATAAAGTACTAGGGCTAAAAAACAGTCAACCAAACATTTAAAACAAACTTCAAATTCCACGTGTTCAAAGAAAACATGGTAAAAGCTGAATGAAATGCAACATCAGATTTTATAAAACTTCTTCAACTCCTGATTCCTCAAAATCCTGAATACCTGATGAATAGAAAAAGAAAATCATTCTCTATATACAACGATTAGTTACAAAGGATTAATTAACTAATCAGATAAAAATGCCTACAAATGAAGTTTGAACAGCTTAACTAAATACTTACCTCATTCATAAAAGACAACGACATAAATCGGGATCATAAGAAATTACATCGAGTAGTTCAACTACTTCAAAAATAACATATTCATCAAGATCCAAAGACATAAGAAAAAAGAAAAAAAATAAGCACATGATAATAATATTTAAATAATTGTATTTATAAGACCATAATGTGTTGTATTAATCACACTAACCCGATTATGATGTTTCTCAAGCCCATGAGTATTTTGTATCCAGTCAGATGCACACGAGAGCATTTCAATGGTCTCAACAGAAAAAGTAGTACGACGATTATCAACAACTCTACCTCCAACACTGAATGTGGACTCAGAAACCACAGTTGTAATTAAAATAACTAATATGTCGGCTGCCAGCTTAGATAATCGAGGATATTTAAGTTGGTTCTCCCTCTACCAATCCAAAGCATCAAAATGAGCATTTGAATCACAAATGAAGACATATTCTTCAAGATAAATATCCAAATCAGATTTTAAAGGTCGTATGTAATCCCAACTTTTCCTTACAAATGAATCAAACTTTGACTTCCTAGTACTAACATTCCTGCCAATTACTCCGTGTTCACTGTAAATCCTATCCTGTTCTCTTACTCATATTTTTCTCATGTTCTCTTACTCACATTTTTCCCTTAGTCAAGTACCCAATCATTATGAACAACAACATATGTTTCATAGAGCTCATGTACCTCTTTCTTAACCAAATCAACATTCACATCAGATTCATCTTGATAAAGTGCAGAAAAAGAAAACTCAATCAACTTCATTTTGTATCCAGAATCCAAAATAGCACTAAAAGAGAAGAACAAATTACATTCTTCCCAATACATATCAAATTTGGTGTTCATTGCCTATGTCGTAGCTCTTATATTTAATAAAATGTCAATTAACTTCTCATTTAAGAGCTATTTTATTCAATAAAGTTTAGGAAGAAATAAATTAGCCATCGAATATTCAGAACTGGATATCATGTTAGTAATTTCATGAAACACACCTAAAAATTAGGTCATCCCTTCAACCTTCATCCAATCATAAGCATCAAGAATATATTCAAAACCAGGATCAATATCACGATAACCGGGAAAAACATCGTTAACTTCCAAAGCGGCAACCAACATCAAATATGTTCCATTCCACCTGGTTGTATAATCAAAGATCAATTTTTTATAAGACAATTTAAGTTGTTTGACAATTTTTGGAAAAATCATTACAACGAGCCTCTGAACTCCTAATGTACTTGATCCCTTTTTTAATAACTTCAATAACATCCCGCACGGTCTTCCGTGGTTGCTTTCTTGGTCGCGCGGTCTCTTTGGCCTGCCTCAAAGTCATCTGCGCGCTGTCTTCCATCCGCCCCGATGACCCATTCCTTGTCCCGTGCTACTGCGTCTGCGCCCCATGTCCGTGCACCTCACGCATCAGGCCTTGCGCGTCACCTCCGCGTGCTAGCCTTAACGCTCACGCGAGCTCCCCTTGCGCGTATCAACTCTCTCACGCGAGACTCACGTCTTCTGCCTCGAGTCTTGTCTCGACCTTGCTGTCTCCGTGCAAGCTTCTCGGGTCGCATCCGGGTGCGCCTACACCATCGCGCATGTCTGCGATCCTGCTGCCGGTTCGCCTTGCGCGCGCGCGCTCGTGCTGCCATTGTCGCGTACGCATCGACCCGTGCCGTGCTAGCGCGCCTTGTACTCGAGCTCACACCCGTATCCATGGCCATGCACGTGCTATTTTGGGCCTTCGCGCAGTCTTCTCGACCCTCGACCCGTTGCGTCCTCAGAGGTCCAAACCTGCATTCTCATCAACATGTCAAAACGTGGCTAGCCAACGAGTTGACCCATCCAGTCCCACCCCTTCCAGAATGGGGTGCCGAGCATAAGGGGCTAGCTCGCCTTAAAAATAAATAATTTCTCCCTATATATTAATTCAAAACGTGTTGAGTCTAAGTGACAGACTCACACACTTCAGATGCTGACATGACAAAAATCTATGATTTGGAATGTTGTTGATTTAGTGACGCTCCCGATCTCTTTCCAAATTATTATTCTTCCGTTGCAATAGCGCATCATGCTTTCCATTTCTACTCCTTTTTATTCTTTTAATGCTCTTTTTAAAGTCATTTTTAAATGCATATTCAGTTATTTTAATGCGACGGTTTTGATGTTATCAATACTCATTCTTTCTCCTTTTAATCCACGTTCACATTTTTCTTCTGCTTTCCTTCTTCATTGTTCTCGCTGAACAACATCTTCCTCATCTTTGTTTTTTTCTGTTCTTTTTATCTTCTTAATTTTCTTAATTCACGCGATATATAAACACTCATGAAAAGCCCAAAAATTTTTTATTGTTCTTCCCAACAATAAGTTAGGGTTGTGGTAGATCTATTATTCCATCTTCTCACGAATTTGAGGTTGAAATTCAAAAAATCTACACCCAAATCGTCATCCCCAAACCATCATCGAGCCTTCAAAGGCCACCGCCCGACATCACCGAGCCTTATTAACCTAACATATTCGCAGATCCTTTTCTATCATATCTATATTTTCCAACCCCAAATCAACATCCCAAAAATTTCGGCGGAATTTTTCTTCTGCAAAAACCTTCAAGGGATCTGGTCAACTCCGTCTTCGAATGAATTATCATAGCGCGACCCTCTACAACATCAACATCGCCGCCACCTCCCTCGGCCGCCGGGCCTCCTCCGACTGCCTACCTCCTGAAGAGAGTGAGCGATTTGTTGCCTGAGGTAGGGCACAATACCACATGGCAACGACATCTCCGTCCCTGAAGAAACCACATGGCGGCATAATTGGATTTTGACCGTCTCATGGAACAGTCTCCCTTTCTGGTCTTACTCTTGTTTCTGGGAGTATCAACGCTATAGGTGTGTATATCTATGCAATATCACCAAGATTGTAGGAATTTGAAACTTACACTGTTCATGTAATTTGTGTAGTTGTTCTGTGCTTTCTTTTACATGTGGAGGTAATGGCAGGGTGTTGCTAAAATGTTGATTAGTCATTAATCGGTGTTATTTTTTATATGTATGTGGATTATTCATTAATTACATTAGGAAAAATGCTTTCATGTTATTTTTGTAGATGCCTGTATGAAAAGAGGTTTATTTTTACTTGACTGAATTTTTCATTGAACTTCTGTTTATTTCTTGTTGTTTTTATGTTTTTTTATAGGTGTTATGTTGTTTTTTGTGTTTGTTTCTTGTTGTTTTTATGTTTTTTGATAGGTATTATGTTGTTTTTTTGGTGTTGTTGCACAAAAACTTGTTATTTGTTTATTTGTTATTTTTTTCTCTTGTTCACATACATGTTAAGATGTGTTTTTTTTTTTTTTTTTTTTTGCCAAATCACCGCCTACTTTTGAAATAAATTTGTATGTACATTATTTTGATCAATTATTTCTTGTAATTCTTTAGGCATTTATATTTTTATTTTTGAAGAAGAAGAAGAAGAAAAGGGAAGAAGAAAGAGAAAACATGAAAGAATGAGAAACGTGAAAAGAGGAGGAGAGAGAAAGAAGAGAGAAAAAGCTGGAAAAATGGATGAGAGCTAGCAGTTTGTTAATAATTTAATTTTTGAATTAATTGTTTTTTATTTTCTCGTTGTAGTAATTAGTAATTATTAACTGTATGTTTTGGAATGGATTAATTTTGGAATTCTCTCAAAGCAGTTTTAGTTATGGAAATAGTATTTTATAGTAGAATAGTTATGTCTTTTCGCCGAAATACACACGCACGCCTTTACATGACATGTTGATGAATGTTGATTTTGAGATTTGATAAACCCAAATTGCAAATTTAATATTGGGCCTAAAGTTTAAGGTTGGACAAGTTATCCTTGGTCAAGGCCCAAACCAGGCGGCCCGTCCCTGAAACCTTCGCCCGCCGGCAAATAGGTCAAACAGAAAACTTCAAGCGAGAACCTCCGCCCGCGCTCCTCACGCAAGCTCGCAGACATGGCGGAACCACAGTACGCGGTCGATTTGGGCAACCTTATGGCGTTCGACCCCTATCATCAATTCTCTTCTCCTCCATCCTCAAGGCTCGTTTCCTTCTTTTTATCTTCTGTGGCAGTGAATGATTAGGTTTACAGGCATGAACTGCATTTTGATCTTTTCTGTACTGTCGTGAATTGTTTTGCGCTACAGGGAGGAGATTGTGAAGGCGGCCCTCGAGCACGGCACGAAGTTAGTGCAAGCGGTGGCCGGTGCCCTTTTCAGTTTGCCTTCTGTGGAGGATCCCGACGGTCCCATCGTTAAATTGCCTGCGCCGAGTACGAAACTGCCCAGAGAAAAGCCGGTAAGGTTTTTTTCTAGCTGCGTGTATGTGTGTGTGTGTGTGTTTTGGAGGGATTGTGCTGGGAGTTTGATTAGTTGTTTATTGCATAGTTAACCAATGAACATTTCTTTACTTGGATGCTAGAATTTTTACGGGTTTGGATTTTGGTTTATCTTTGCTTACTTTTCAGTTTGTTGAAGGAGATAATGGGTGTATACTGTATAGTCTGCCTTTCAATAGGCTGGCCTTGGTTAGCTTGCAAGAAACTATGAGATTTGTTTTTGTGGCATTTGCTGTCTTGAGATAAAAGGATGGATGTGAGTGAAAATGTGACCATTACATTTTTTGTTTTGAGGATTCTTGAATATGTAAGTATGGTTTTTGAATCATTTGCCTGAATGGTTTTAAGCTGTGAAACGTGGAAGATCTGTGGATAAGTGTGCTTTGAGTGGATGTTCAAATTTTCTTCATCTTATGCTTGCACTCTCTTTAAGTTGTCCAGGAATTTAAGACAAAGTGTATTGTGGCCGATGGAAAAATAACTGATCTTCACAATTTTGCTATGTTTTTTCCCCTTCATACAGATTATGCTAAGACTAATAGTCTTATTGGCTTGCTCATCTTTACATGCTGCATTTATGGAGTGTTTTATCTTACTTTTTTTTTTCTTTTTATTCCGCTACACTATCTGAAATTTTCTTGCTCGATTTGAATTCAGCTTCCGAAGCCTAGACCTCCAACAAAATGGGAAGTGTTTGCCCAAAAGAAAGGTTCACCCTCTTTACCCATTATTATTAGAAACAGCGGGATTAAGTTGTTCCTCAACTTACATTATTATGTTATCGAATTTGTTCTCTATGATGCAGGAATTCAGAAGAGAAAGAAGGAAAAATTGGTGTTTGACGAGCAAACTCATACCTGGAAGCGCCGCCATGGTTATGATCGTGTTAACGATGACAATGACATCCCAATCATCGAGGCCAAAGCAACTGATGGTATTTAATTTTTCAACAAACTTTTGACTTAGTTTGATGAAAATAGGATAGTGACAGTCGAATATCCCGAACCTAATTAGAGAAAATAATTTTTTTTCTGTACTATCTCAGTTTAGGATGATTTAAACAATGTGATGGTCATCCTACGTCTTTCTCACTATAAGCATCTACCTTCTGCCTAAAAGTGTTGAATCTATTTAGATTCTAATGAATCATTGTTTTTTTATTTTTTAAAACTCTTCCAGAACCAGGAACAGATCCTTTCGCTGAGAGACGGAAGGAGAAGAAAAGCAGAGTTGAGAAACAGGAGAAAAATCGCTTGGGTAACCTGAAACAAGCACAGAAAGTTGGTGCCCTGCCTAGGTTTTTCTCTTGACCTGTCCATTAGATTCTTTTTTTTTTTCATTTTTCATGCTACTTTTTGAGACATCTGATATTCCTTGATTTTTTTCTTTTAACAATGTGATTCTTGAATATTGTAGAACTCAGGATGTTGTGTGCGCTTTTTCTTGCATTTAACTTGCTTTTACATGTAAAAAAAATGTGACTTGAGTTTCCCAGTTTGCTCGGTTTGCCTTGGAAGTAAATCTGAGTTTTGCTTGTGTTTTTGCAGCCATATTCAACTTGCAGCCACCTCATTGCCCATCACAGGAACAAAAGCAAATCCAAAGAAAGTAAGCAAAGATGAGCTTCAAAATGTTGCAGGTTTGGCGGCAACTTCAACTGCCAGTGGTGGGAAATTTGACAAGAAATTGGCTGGAGAGAAGCCCCCAAAGCATGAAAAGAAGTATAGAAAGGTCTCAATCTTGTTACTTTTCGAATTATTTAAGAGTTAATTCCCCAAATTACCCTCAAGATTCCTTTTTTTTCATTTCTTTTCTAAACTATGAGTTGTCTGAGAATGAAAATCGGTCATCTACATTTATTTCTTAAAGAAAAAACATCTTAAAAACATGGGTATTTATTGTTTTGAGTTAATGCACATTTTTGCTTGTTCAGCGGTACAAGGATCGGGAATGATTAATTTTTTAAAATTCTTGTTATGCAGTTTCTGCCGACTGTAGAAGGATCGGGAATGGGTGCAATGGAGAGGCAGCAAACCGAGAAAGTCTTGAATAGATTGATTTCGAAAAACTCGCACGAGATACTCAATGTTGAAAAGGTACTTACTTGTTGGGTGAATTATTTATTCATCAATTTTCAGTCTGAAGTTTATTTTTTTCTGAACTTGTTTGGCTCATGTGGGGATTTACTATTTAGGCTGTGAACATGTACAATGTGAAGAAGGAGAAGAAACAAAGAAAGCAAGGTGGACAATTATCGGCTTCAGGCAAGTTGAAGCCCGGCAAGAAATCTTTCAAGAAAAAACCGCAAAAAGGGTCATTCTCGAATAAAGGAAAATCAAAATGATGGCACTACCGGTAAACTGGTTTAGGGTCATGAAATTTTTGGGTATTGGCCGGGGAAGGAAGAAAAGTTCTGCATCAATGGAAGATGTGTTCCTTCTATTTGACATTTTCTGTTTTTCTTATTGTGCCTTTTTTCTTTATATATTAGTTTTGTATTTTGTATGAGCTTTAAGACCTCAGTCTATTTATAATCTCTGAGATTCTCTGGTTATAAGTAAATTGTTAGATTGGATCATGGACGAACACATCTCTGAGATTTAAGACCTCAGTCTATTTATAAACTCCACATAATCAAAAAAAGCCCAACTGCCACCCAGAAAATTTTGCTGCATGTATGCAAAAATTTTACAGATAATAATGAATCTCAGACGCTCACAAATGTTCATATCATCGCTCGAAACATATTATCCACCTAAAGTCGGGCATCGTGTCGATTAAATCTCATAATAATCAATATACAACACCATATTTGATCTTAACATACAGTCTCCACATACAAAAACCCAAAAACTGGAACAGTAAACAGAATGAATTCACAAGAAACTACACAATTTCATTCACTAAAATAATCATTGTCAACAACACAAACGAACCTGACCTCAAGAAAACAGAAAACCAGATGAATCTCGAAAAATGTCTTAACCTGTCCTAAAATAGATTAGCACCACATATGATCAATTTGACTAAAAACCCTAAATCAACCGCCGCTTTTTCCCCCAAACAATTAGTCACCCAAAGCAAACTAAAAGGAAAANGAAAAAAAAAAAAAAAATTAAAACTTTACAACCCGGGAAGCTCCTGCTGGTTTTCCAAGGACTGCCGGAGTATAAACTCAACTCTCCTCCTTTTATCATCCCTCTCATCCTCCCGCCCGAACCAAGACTCCGCCTTATTCCGAATCCTCAGTTCCAACATCTCGCCAAAGACCATTTTACCCCTCCTCCGTTCGAAAACAATCTTCTCCCCATCACTCCCCGAGTCAAGACTGCCATTCCTCATCGACTTAATAGCAGGAGCAAACATATTCAACAAAGAGACCTTCTTCTCCCCGGTTTGCAGAGGGCTAGCCAAAAACAGGTTACCTGTTTTACCCCCAGCCAAGGAAGAAGATGACCCATTACACAGAAGCCTCTGCTGCAAGCTCAACAAAGACCTCTCGGCCTTCCTGTGCTGCCTGGCGAGCTCGATTTTATCCTCACGGATGTCTAAAACCCTCTCATTCCACACGGGCGTATGTATATACGTGTGTGGGTTCGGGAGCTCCGGCAGCCATGGCGGAACGTGCTTGAAACTCGGGGAGTCGCCTATTTGCGAAAAACTAGGTAACACTTTTTGTTCTCTGACCACCGGAAATTGCAGGACAGGTTGAGCAAATGGGATCTCTTGGGAAGTTTCAACATAATGCTTAATATCGGTTACAACAGCCGAGCGCAAGCTTAAGTCTTCCAGCCCTTGGGCCACATCAAACACATTGGACTCTGTCCTACCGGCTAAATTAGCATGGAATTTGGAAACTTTACCTAAGTTGCTAATGTACCTAATAGCAATGTCGGCAAGGGAATCGAGAGCGGACTCCTTGAACCCTTCAAACCCTATGGCTTCGCATATCTGAGCCGCTGCAATTCTTGCTATCTCCCGGCTGTAACTTCCGGCGCCAGATCGAGCGACTGAGTGGTTCGCGTTATCCGTCTCCTCTTCAGCTTGACCTCCATCGCTCATGTTCGGATTCAAGAATCATTTAGTGGTTTTTGAGCGATTTCAAACACCCTAAAGACGTCGGAGGTGCCAGTTACGATTCCGTCACCGGAAATTCATCGAAACATTTGAAATATCGCCATTTTTGTATAAGAAATTAGTAAAAAAAAAAAACCTAGAAACCAGGTGAGAAAAAATGGGAGGCAGGGAAAAAAGGTACTGATTAGGGTTTAAATTTGAAGTGGATAATTTTGGGGGAAATCGAAATTGTGGGTCGGGGATTTAATGGCAGATCGATTAAACCCTACTCGCCGACCGAAGGGGGATTTTAGATCGGGAGAGAGAAAACAAAGATGATGGCTGAGAAAGAGGGTAAGGAGAGAGGAGAAAATGTCCGAGAGATATTTTGGTAGTTTCTAGAAACTTTGGCAAATAGATTGGTTTAATAATCCTCTTGTTTCTTTCTCGTAACTAGTGTGTACCACGTGCGATGCACGGAAACAATATTAAATTAAGAATATTATAAATAGACCTCGAGTTTAAGTCACTCAATGGCGGAAGTGGAAACTACTATTGATTCTATTTAAAAAGAGAAAGAAAAAAAATAATTATAAATTAAAGAGGAGGATAAACAATATTTAATAATTATAAATTAAAGATTCGGGGTTAAACAATGTAAAACTATTTTGTATAAGAGAATATGATATTTTGTATAAGAGAATATAAAATTTATATGTTTAATATTAAAAACACCTAAAATATTATATTAGTATATGTAAACGTATTCAAATTTTCTATATTATTTTTGAAAGATGTGAAGTCACCTACAACTTTTCTAAATAAATTTAGAAGGAAAACATGTCTAAAAACATTTGAATTTAACATTGTGGAAAAAAGATTTTTCTAGACTATTTTGTAAAGTAAACATGTCTACAAATATTTAAATTTAATATCAATTATGTATATGTGTGTATGTATATATATATATATGTATATATAGACGAATATGTAAAAAAAATGACTATACAATTTGTTTAAAATATCTAAAATATTATAAGCATAATTTAAAAATGACATTATGTCAGATGATACCGAATTTATGGCGTTACTTCCATCTAAAAAATCTGATTACACACCATTATTATTATACTTTTTACGTTGGTATCGAGGATGTATTATTAGCTTATAATATTTATAAAAATATTAGTAATTAGACAAAATTAGTTTTTTTAAAGTAGATAAATATTAGTAATTAGACAAAATTAGTTTTTTAAAGTAGATAATGGATTTCTAGTAGTAATTATGAATTGGTTTTTATTTTATTTTATTTTTTTAAATGATAAGAGATGAGATTTTTTAACGTGAGACAGATAAGAGATAAACTCTATGAGATTTTATAAATGCAATGAGATTTTGTAACAGATAAGAGATAAACTCTAGATTTATGCCATAAGGTTTTATAACGCGATTTTCAATTCCAAAAAACAGGAAAACAGATTCTAACACAATTAATCTGCCGATATTGTTGTCTTATCAATATTGTCCAACAATTACTATATATAGGATGCATTTAATGTATTTGGCGGGAAAACATTTCTAAAATTGTAAAAAGGTTATTCTTTTTATATAATGATAGATTTATGGAATAATTTTTACAGGATAGATGGCATTAATTGTTCCTATTATATAATAATCAATTGACAGTAAACATAAAAGCATATATAAAATCTGTAATACTCCAATCACATTATTTATATTGTGATGACTAAATAATTTTATTAGCTATATGTGTTGAAAATAAGAAAAAAAAAATGCAAAAAACAAGAAGACTTTCAGATATACCATTTAAATTATTATTTTAAAAAATTAGTAAGATTTCGAATTCCAAAAAAAAAAAAATTATTTAAACTGATTTGACTCCACTGTTTTAGCTTTTTATTGGAAAGAAAGTTATTTTTTATTTTATTTTTATTTTATTTTTTTGAGATAATTAAAATTTTAGAACATTATGAATAATATAATTTAAATTCACCTTTCTATAATACACTAGTATAAATATTTTTTTTTTCATACTAATATGTGTTGGATTTAAATCAGTGGCTTAGAGTTTAGGGTTTGGACAAATCCGAAACTCTATATGCAAAATAGTATTATTCCAATTTATTAGTAGATTACAATTTTCAGTTGACAGTTATTTTTAACTTTAGATTTTACAAATTTATTTTATGAAATGATATGTTGTTCAATTAATACATATATTTGTTTTATATCAAGTTGTTAGCTAGTTCTATTACCACATATTATATTTTAAACATGTGGCACGGATAAATTATATTCCCTCCTATTTTTAATAAATGTCGTTTTGAGTAGTTGCACAATAATTAAGAATATTTTTTTGTCAATAATAACCATTAATGAGGATAGAGATTGATGTTTTGAGAAACAATGAAGAGTGAATATGAAAAGACGTAGTTTATTTATTAATTAGATGAGGGTAATAATGGAAAAATATGTACAAAATAGCCAAAACGACATTTATTTAACAAATGATCAATTAAGCTAGGATGACAAATAATAAAAATAGGAGGGAGTATTAAATAATAATTATAAATTAATAAGTGAGTAAACAATATTAAATAATAATTATAAATTAAATAAGTGGGATTAACGTTTGATATTACTTACAATGTAAAATTATCTTGTCTAAAATAATATAAAACATGCATATTTAAAATATTAAAAATACTTAAAATATTATATAACATATGTAAGATTATCTAAAATATTATATATTATTCTTAAAAATTGTGAATTCACCTAAAATTTTTCTAAACTATTTTGTAGCCAAAACGTGTTTAAGACATTTAAATTTGATATATATAGAGAGAGAGAGATGGAATGTGGAAAAAATTCCATAGAACTTGAGGAATGGTTAGAAAATCCGTCCAAAATTTTTCTTAATCTATGGAATGTGTAAAAAAAATACCAAAGCAGCATAATCCAAAAGTATATAAAATATTAGTAATTGCAAAATTGCAATTTCAATTCCAACCAAAATTTGAGGAATGGTTAGAAAATCCGTCCAAAATGGTTGGAAATATCGGTCCAACGTTTTCTAATTTTAAAATGCATACAATTTGATATACACCAAATTTTGAAGTCGATATTTTGAAATTTTAAGTTGAACAAAGTATTTAATTTAAGGAATGGTTGAAAAATCGGTCCATAATTTTAAAAAATATTTACAGCCCCAATTTTTGAATTTAAATTGAACAATACCCAATTTTGATGGGAGCATTAAATGCTCGAAATTGTTGCTTATTATTTTTGATAAATAGTTATTCTCTTTATATATATATATATAGATTTCCAAAAGTCGATGATAAGTATACATTTGAATTGTAAAATCCACGTGAGTATTAATTTTAAATTTGTGTATCATTGAAAAGATGATATTGCCAATATGAATAAGTGCTTATCTCAAATGATTGAGTTCTGAAATCGAACCTTAACTTATCTTAAGATTCTAACTGGTTTTAAGATAGTAATTAAAAATTTAATTAGTTTAAAAAAATCTTGCCTACAATATATTATTCAATTTTCGAAAGATAACGATAAGTATAAGTTTGAATTTTAGAATCCACGTGAGTATTAATTTTAAAATCCGTGTACTATTCATCAAATTACTAATTATGTTCATTTCCTGTGAACTTCATATTGATTTAGTGATTTTATTTTATTTTCATTCAAAGATGATCGTCTCATTTTGTTGTATTATATTTTCTGGATATTTAACAAAGCCGGTTGCAATTATAAAATGAGTTTAATATTAACATAAAATTTATAATAGAGTTTTTAAAATTGTGTACTATTAACCAATAATATATATCATTAAATATATATTTTTTTAAATGCATAATAAGATTTTAAAAATTATTTTACCTTTTGAAATCGAGTTAAAAAAAATATCAAGTTTATCATCACACGTACTAAATAAATAAATTTTTATAATTTGAGAAAATGATTTAAAGAATATTTTTAGCGTTTAGTATATTTTTTCAAAGGTACAAATATAAAGACCAAGATTCTAAAACTTTTGTTACCTTTTGAATTGAGATTTCATAAATATAGAGATCGAGATTTTAATTTTTCGTTGTTTCTAAGAAAAATATTAATATAAAAACATGCACACTTAATAGATATAGCCTCGTTCCGGAAAAAAAATAGATCTTAGCCATAATTTTTAAATAATAAATTGAACCCAGGCCTGAATTTAAGGCAACATTTAATGTTGTATGACTTTTTAAAGAAAAAATAGAAAAAATAACAAAAGTTACTATTTATGGGCTGCATTAAATTATGATATACTTTTTGCTACTATTTTTGGTAAATGGTTATTCTTATAATATTTATATAGAAACGTAAAATTGTTTTTAGGCAGACTAGCCCCTAGTTCAACATAATTTTCAACAGAATAATGCAAATAGTATTTCATTTTGAAGAATAAATATATTTTCCATCAATATATCTATATCTATATATATATATAACTTCAAGCCACCTAACAGCATATCTCGTTTACGAGTGTCAATGTTAAAATGTCCATGACACATGACAATAATTAATTGGATTATGATATTTTATAACATCGTTGTTCACATTGTAGAAAATAACAGTGTAAAACTATCATGCTTTGCTTTCCTTTACATTGTAGAATAACAGTGTAAAACTATCTCCAATGTTTTGTTTTCCTTCGCGTCATTTCTATGTTTACATTTATTTATTTTCTAGTAAACAAAAGTGATAAAGCAACTTATACCAGATCCATCGGATAAAACATACTAAGACTCAAGCTTAAGCTTTGAGGGTTTAGTTATATAATTACGTTTATTTTTTAATTAAAAAAAAAGGAAGTAAAAATGGCTTTCATCTCCCCAAAACTAAATAAATAATAAAAGTAGGAAAATCAATTTTTTTAATTAAAAAATAAAAAAAATAGGTAGCTTTCATCTTCCCAAAACTATATATATAATAAAATTATGAATAAATTTTGGAATGAAAAAATTAATTACGGCAAAAAATATCAATTAAATACAGAGTAGTTTAAGTTTGAAAACATGAAAATTGTAATTACATTTAGTGTTATTTTTATGAATGAAGTAAGTACAAAATGGTTTAGTTTTTAATATATAAAAATTGTGTTATTTTTATATATCACCGTACAAAATAGTTTAGTTTTTAAAATATAAAAACTGTAATTACATTATTCACGATTCCAAAAATTTTGACACGTTTATTTTCGAATACTTCAAACAGTGTGTCTGATGCTTCACAGTAGTCATGCCACTCACAAAATATTAGACCATAACACACTAGTCATGTCACTCCACAAAAAATTGGACAAAATATATTGGAGATATAAATATGAAGAAATTATCTTCAGTAATGACACGACATTTACTTTATTTCACTTTAACAGTATGCATTGCAGGTAGGCCTGTACCCCGTGGAGGGTTGGCAGTCCGTTATGAAGTATCAGAGTGAATGCGGGATATCTAAAGTTAGAAAAAAAATTATGCATTGGAATGCTCTAAGAGCATCTCCAATGGCCTTTTAATTGTAAAATTGTGGAAGGAATTCAGTAAAAAACATCTCCAACCCTCAATGTCTAGATGCTAATTATGATGATGTGGTTGGAAAGAGAATGAATAAAATTTAGCACTCTTTTTACATTTAAAAGTCTTGCTAGGCACGATGACTCACAATTTTCCTCCCACTCACTTCTTTTGTTTCAATTAAAAACAAAAAAGTTGTTAAAAAAAAAGAGGCCTAAATGCTAGAGAAGTGAAAATTTTGTTAAGATAGGAGTGAACCATTGAAGACTCGTTATGGGTTTGAACTTCTATTTATTCCGCGTGGGTGATAGTACTTCTATTTAATTGTCACATATACTGCAATTGATGTTCATGGTTGGAGATGCTCTAAAAAAAACGAAAAAAAAAAAAAGTTTCGGATAATCCTCTGCGTTCCCGATTGTCCAACTCAAAATCATCTCTTTTCACTTCTCTCCTGCGCCAAAAATGGCTTTTCGTCTGCAAGTGCTGTCGTCATCACCATCTCTCACACCCACACACAAATATCCTCTCCCTTTCTTGAAAAACACCAACAGAGCATCTTTGCCTCAAAACACCCCAATATTCCCCAAATTATCACATTTGCCCCAATGGGTTTCTTCTGTTGGACCTAAATATTTGAATCTGTTGCTCTCGGGCTCGGTCGCTCTTGCTTTGTCCTTCTCTGGTATGTGTGTTTATGTGTTTTTTTTCTCCGCTTAAAGATGAAATTTTGATGCTTCTTAGTTCTTACTCTTTCGGTTTGTTCGAAATTGATGCATAAAAGTTTGTTGTAATAGATAGTGTGGTATTGGGTATTTGTTTTTTTTGTTTTTTGTTGTTCTTTTTGTAATTGAAGGAGAGACCTTATGAAAGAAAAGAAAAGAGAAAAGTTTTTATTATTATACTAGAGGATCTTGCAATTTGTAAAAGAAAAGCAAGTTTGGACTATGTTTGAGATTCCTAAAGATAATTAGGTTATTCTTGGTAAGTAGAGCTGTTAAATGAGTTAGTTAGCCGAGCTTGGGCTTGTTAAAAACTCGTCTAGTTTACGAGTCCAGCTTGAAAGACACAAAAATAGGATTTTTATGTAATTTTTATGAACTCTTAGCTTAACTCGTTATAGCTCAAGTTCGAATTGTTAATTATGATTAAACAAGCCATGCTCGACTTGTTTATTGTCTAGTTTAGTTAACCAGGTAATTATCTAAACTTTTAGCTCAACCCGACTCATTAAGGCTCGAGCTTGGCTCGTTAAATTTGATAAACAAGCCGAATTTGAACTCGTTTAGTTTGCGAGTCGAGCTCAAGTATGAAGAATTTAAGCTCGGCTCAGAGTTTACAGCTCTAGTAGTAAACTAAAACCTTGGGGACAATTTTAGTAATAGATGACTAACTAAATTGGGGGACTGTAAAGACAAATAACCTAAATTTTGTAGGGGTGGGTTCTGCTGAGGGAAAGGCTGGGGTGAACAAACCAGAATTACTACCTAAAGAGTTTACTACTGTGATTGATGTTGCTGGGTTCTTGTCTGATGGCCAGGTGTGG